ACAACAAGCACCTTTTTCTTAACCAAAAGTCAACCGTGTGCTAAAGTAGAGCGTTTAAACACATCGATAAGTTTATTTTAAGAATATTCCTGAACACTGCAAACGACTTTCTATAATGTATTATATGTTCAGTGTAGTAGTCGGGGTGATCGCCATGACTCACAGGTAGCTACGTTCACGGTCCTGATCGTGACTGGAGTTTGGTCACGGACATCACAGGTACTTAAATAGTAGAGGACATCTAGATGTTCAATACTGAGGAGAGATAGGAAGATCTTCGCCAGGCAACCCCTGTTCCTGATCATCACTTTTAATAAAAAAACGGAAACTTCGCAATAGCTCTCGTTGGAAAGTTTTTTATGTTGAGAAGTTAGAAAGAAGGGCCGTAACTCACGGTCAAGATCATGAGTTGAGTTCACCGTGACCGTGACCTAACAAAACAAAGTTGGTCACGCCAGGCACTAATTCAGCGTCTACGATGACATTTTGTCGTATATATATTTCTGTTGAAATAATATACTAATGAAAAAGGAAATGGTAATCGTTGAATAGTTTTCGGCTTAGAGAATAAATTAGACGATTTGTAAAAAAAATAGATATAAAGAAACACTGAAAATATTTTTAAGATTAACTGCTGCAAGTTTTGGTTTCTTCATCATGTTGAATGTTTTTTGAAAGTGTTGTATCATAGTGTATTGTATCAAAACGGATGAATATGTTTGAAATCTAGTAAAACTGACAGAATCGAGTCGATTTCGATACACACTGATAACGTTAATGCATTTGAGCCGTCTGTACTAGCTATAGAGCTCAAATCGATCTCAAGTATGAGATAAACTTTTATTAGTGAAATAGATTTTAAAACACTTTTTTCTCGATTAATTTAAACTCTTTCTAATAAATAATTCAAATTTAGATGAAAAACACATTGATATCGTTTATAGATGGAACCAAAAGTCATAAACGCTAAAGCCGATTCTTATGAATGCTGTAATAGACAGACCGGAGTGAGAACAAACATGTGACATGGGTAAGAATCTACATAAGAATTGTGATTATCAAAATAATAATGTATTTCTTGTAATGAATATTCTTGGAACAAAGAAGTCATAATTGCATGATAATAATTATATCCGAGTAAATTTCACACTTTCTCAAAATTTTAGTTTATTCGAAATGATTATCTCTGTATATTTTGATAAAACATAACCAATACTTCGCCAATAGTATTAATGATTTATCAGATGCTTGGATACAATATTAATGTAAGCATTGCATACAATACACATAGCGAAGAAGAAAACCAAAAGATTTCCATTTAACAAAATTCAAGTTAAATCATTTCAAAACAAACCTGATCGCTCTTATTTAGATTTTTTTTTTTCTTAAATAAAATTGAACAAAAGATAAAGCGTATAGCACAGACAATTTAGTGAGACGAAAACGAGAGAAAAAAATACAGAAATTGAATGCAAAAAATAACAACTATACGCAAACATATCGCCTGTATAATGTGAATGAGGACAAAAGGGATAATAATGGGCGGAACATATACAATTTAAATAAATAGCTGTAGTTGTCCCGACATAATGATATGGCAGTCCGAATTTATTTTTATACATTCTCATTATATTCCCTAGAATATTAAAAAAACAACAAGGAAAATCGTATGTTGAAAGAAAAACATGAATTAAATACTAACCAATAGTCACATTCATATCCTTCAGCAACATGATCTAACAAAACTTTACGACGTGTACTACAATAACGATATTTATCTTGTACTTTTTGTTTTAGTTCTGTTAAACTTGCATTTGTCTGTGAAAAATCTCTTTCTAAATATCCACTTAATTCTTCTGTTGCATGTTCTAAATCAGCTTGATTCTGTTCAAAAATAATCCTTAAGAAAAAAAAAAATTTCTTCTCTTTTTACAAATATATTATCTAACATACGAATGATTATTTCGTTTAAGATAAAATGCAAATGGATATGTATACATTAATGTTTGACGACATTGTCGAAGAACATCACATGCTATTTGAAGAAATTGTACTTCAATCCAACTCATTTGTTGTTGCATTGATTCCATATGTTTTTGTACTTGATCTAATAATTTATTTTCTAATCTTAATGATTCATGATGATTATGATAACGTTTATAATAATGAAGATAACGTTGTAAAGCAGCTCTTGAACGTTCTTGTTCATCACGAGCTTTTTTAGCATCATCTTCATTGAAACGATTACAATTATACCATGATGAACCATGTGGTTCCCATGCACCCAAACATACCCAACAAAATTCATATTTGCAAGATTGATTTTTACAAATTAAATGATTACAACCACCATTTTTTTCTAAAATTAAAATATAATATCTTTAACTCTAATAATAGAAGTGAATTTATTCCATAGTCTAAAAAATAGTACTAGAAGTGGTGATCAGGGTACAAGGACGAAACTCATCATAATTCGATCCCTCCTGCAACAGACTATCATTTGCTGTCAATCTTATTTACTTCGCAACGAATTTGTCTACTTATTTTTATTCCATTTTCTATCTAAACTCATCAAAAAAACCGTAAAAAGTTGGCAGAAAGTCGTAAAATCGGGGGTGGGGAGCTATGAGAGTACCCACAGCCGGTTATAGAATGTTAAATCGAAATTTATTCGACGCTTTTTCAGAATGTAGTCGAGATCAAAGGTCATTGGGTACTTTGTCTTCTCCAAAGACAGCATCTTAGTAATCGACAGGAACGAAAAAGAATGCTCCAAATCTTCTAGAATTTTCTATGCACTTAATTCGTAAGAATAGGCATAGAATATAATTTTTGACAAAATTAAATTATTGAGGCTTATGACTGATAGCCTATCTTTACGTTTTATCCGACACACAATTATGTTTCACAGGCAATCATCAGAAAAAAAGCAATGAGTTAATTATGTTCGAGAAAAACTGTTTTTATCGCCTGTCAGATAGATAATTCAAGATATTAAAACTATGTTATTTGCTCAAAATTATTTCATAAAAAAATCTTATCTCGACTTTTATTCTATTAATTCATAACGAAATAAAATAATATTCTCTAAGATTTATTTATTGTTATTTTGTTCTCACCAATTGTAGCATGACATTTAGGACATTCTTTCGTATTGGCAGCAATCCAGTTACTTGTTTCACTGTCATCATGACATTTTTTTTGCCATTTTTTAAGCCATTTGCATTTAATGGGTTCATGCCAAGCTTGTCCACATTGAAAACAGAATGATGTTTTACATGATGTACATGTAACCTTTACAATAACAAAAAAATAACATGGAAAGTTAAAAAGAAAAGAACAAGATTTTATTTACCATTGCTACGTCACAGTAAGATGCTTTAATTGCATTGGTGCAATTTGTACCTGGACACCAACGCATATTTCGATTACATTCAACAAACGAATTCGTTATTAAATGTTGATATTTTCGACGAACATCGGGATTTTCAATAAGACGTAATACAGTTTTATCATCGACTAGAATGTCACATTTTGCTGGACACGATATTGTTTGTCCAATACCTTCATGCATTATTTTGGTTGTTAAATAACATCGCCAACAACTGATACAAAATTTATGACCACATTCAAGACCGACCCTTTCATTAAGTGGTTTAGTTGTATAACATATACCACATATTTGTTCAGTTGAAGGTTTTAATGGATTTGTTGTTATAGTTATTGAAGGTGAAGGTGATGATGAATTTGCTGATATTTGACGACGTGTCGTACGATGTGATGAATTTGATAATTGTGTTTGTAATTGAGGAGGTTTTTTAAATGGATTAACAATATGTGCTTGTTGAAATAATTCATCTTGATGATTAGGATCATAAAAACGTTCCATTAATTTTTCTTTATCCCAACGAAAATGATGAAGTAATAAGCGTACTGTTGTTGATGGTAATTTAATAACTTCATTGACTTCTTTTATACATTCTTCCATATATTTGACTATATCATCTTGTGTTAATACTAAATAAAATTATTACGTTTATTTTTTATGAATATCGGTTATAGAACAAAACTTGAAAGAGTCATTTTCAATCGGACTTTCTAGAGTAATTGAAAAAAGATTAGTCTTGAAAATAAGTTTAATTTGAATTCCTTTGGAACATTAAAAAAAACATAATTTTTTTTTATTCATCAAATTTTGCTAGCATTTAAATCTATCAAATATTGTTACTTCAGTATTTCTACAGCAGGTGATCCATCATGTCATATTACATATCACATGGTAGAACTCCTACTATAATGAAATTCGCTACTTCTTATAATTTAAACTTACCAACATATTCAAAATTATTATCTTGTGGATGATTATTCGATGTACTAGTACCCGTTGAGTATTTATTTACTGATTGATCTGATGTTCCTCTAGTCTGTTTTGATATCTGTGATGATGATGCTGTTGTTGTTGTTGTTGTTGTTGTTGTTGTATTCGATTGTGATGAATGTACAATGGGTTCATCAATAGGAAAAAAGCCTGTATCATCATCTGATCCTTGATTTTCGTTGTCCTCATCTTCTATTTCACTATCTGTATCTATATCAAATTGCTCATCATCTGCCATAGTAATACTATTATGACACAAAGAAAAAAAATTCGAATATATTATTATTTAGTTGATATGACAACTAACAAATAATCAATAGAGAAAAATGCACTCGCTCGCAATATGTATCATCTGATATCTGCCATTTTAGTTGTTCATTCAATCAGAGGTTCCAATAGAATTTATTTAAATCATATAAAACTTCAAATAATAATATTCAATTTATAATTCTTATAAAGATTCTTGATCTCAAAATATTTGAAGAAAAAGTTCAAAATTATTATATATTTAACGACATCTTCAATACTTTGATTGGTACATAACTTTCTCCATTCTATTTGATGTCTAATTCTTTTTTTGTTTGTACAGTTTAATCGATAAAAAAAAAAAGAACTCCTAAACATGTCTTTATCGTCGAAAGATATTAATCTCATTTTAAATTTTCTTAATGAAGATACATGTGGTTCATCTTTAACATTTGAACAAATTTCAGCACAATTTCAACATAATATATCGAAATCTGATTATTTACGAGTTGGAAATGCTCTTGTACTTTTATTACAAAATCGTGATTTAATTCCAACACCACAACAACGTTTAATTATACTTTTTCTTTTTAATGATATGTATAAAAGTGAACAACAATCAATACATATGAATCCATTTGCACCAGTATTTATATCAATTTTACAAAATAATAATGGAGAAAATTTATCAACACAAAAACATTTTCATTGGTTTATATCACCTGTAACACAACATGAACGTTGGTTTGTTAAGACATTAATTAATAATAATAATAAAGATTTGATTAAAAAAACACCAAATCAAATATTACAAACAGGTTTATCAACAACTAAAGATGAAAATGGAACAGAAGAACTAAAAGAAAAAATACAAGAACGTTTACGACAATTACCTGTGCTTGTTCAATGTCATTTACCAGCTGTTATTGATGATCCAGAAGTTAATTATGTATGTCATTCATTTCTTTTTTTCATCAAAATCATTCAAGTGAAATCATTTGCTTAATTTACTTGATTTTCATTTTACAATAAAAATAAAAAAAGGAAATAGATATTTTCGATTGAAAGGATTTCTTCAAGATTTGAATTAATAATAATTCTTTCGATAAGACTTTTCTTAAAATAGGTTTTTTTTTTTAGAAAGAATAGACACGTTTTCTTGCTATATGAAAGATATTAATGAATAAAAAAAAATTAACTATTGTTCACATAGTTACTTATCTCTTTATGAATTTTTGTTCTTTGAAAAATAACAATTATTAAAATATTGTAAAATCTTTCTGTGCTTGCCACTATAGAATTATAGGACGGTGTCTGTCTGCTAGAGAAAAATTCATTTTCAGCAAAAAAAAAATGATAGGTAGGACTTTCAAAATTGTTTACTATGCATAGTTTAGCTTTAAGTAATTTTTACAGTTGTTATTAAATCCATTTTTTACGATGTAATAATATAGCTTATAAATCGACTTTGTTGGATCCAAAATTTTTCGATGTGGATTTAGTTGAGTAAGGTTTTTCG